TTTGAAGCTGCGTGGGCGCTGACAAACATCGCCTCTGGCACCTCGGAGCAGACCCAGGCTGTGGTTCAATCCAGTGAGTGCTGCAGTGGGGGGGGCTGCAGCCACGGCTGGGCTTTGGGATCGGGTTTGGGATCAGGTTTGAGATCAGTGTGGGATCAGGTTTGGGATTGGGATCAGGTTTGGGATTGGGATCACTTCCGGGATCAGGTTTGGGATCAGGTTTGAGATCGGTTTGGGATCAGGTTTGGGATTGGGATCACTTGGGGTCAGGTTTGGGATCAGGTTTGGTATCAGGTTTGGTATCGGGTTGGGATCGGGGTTGGGATCAGTTTGAGATCAGGGTTGGGATCAGGTTTGGGATTGGGATCACTTGGGGATCAGGTTTGGGATCGGGTTGGGATCAGGTTTGGGATCAGGATTGGGATCGGTTTGGGATCAGGTTTGGGATCAGGTTGGAATCAGGTTTGGGATCGGTTTGGGATTGGGATCACGTTTAGGATCGGTTCGGGATCGGGTTGGGATCGGGTTGGGATCAGGATTGGGATCGGGTTGGGATCGGGTTGGGATCACGTTTGGGATCAGGTTGGGATAAGTTGGGGATCAGTTTGGGATCAGGTTTGAGATTGGTTTGGGATCAGGTTGGAATCAGGATTGGGATTGGGTTGGGGATCTGTTCGGGATCAGGTTTGGGATCAGGTTGGGATCGCATTTAGGATCGGGTTGGGATCGGGTTGGGATCAGGTTTGGGATCAAGTTTGGGATCAGGTTTGGGATTGGGATTACTTGGGGATCAGGTTTGGGATCAGGATTGGGATCGGGTTGGGATCAGGTTCAGGATCAGATTGGGATCGGTTTTGGGATCAGGTTTGAGATCGGTTTGGAATCAGGTTTGGGATCGGTTTGGGATCAAGTTTGGGATCAGGTTTGGGATTGGGATCACTTGGGGATCAGGTTGGGGTCAGGTTTGGATTAGGTTGGGGTCAGGTTTGGATTAGGTTTGGGATCAGGTTGGGATCAGGTTCGGGATCAGGTTTGGGACAGTTTGGGATCAGGATTGGGATCGGGTTGGGATCAGGTTTGGGATCAGCTGGGGATCAGTTCGGGATCACGTTTGGGATCAGGTTGGGATCAGTTGGGGATCGGGTTGGGATCAGGTTTGGGATCAGGTTGGGATCGGTTTGGGATCAGATTGGGATCACGTTCGGGATCAGGTTTGGGATCAGGTTTGGGATCAGTTCGGGATCGGGTTGTCAGTCAGTGCCCTGAAGGAGCTGTGCCCAGTGTTCACCTCACACTCCTGGTTTTGCCTTCATTTCCTCAGGGTTAAACCCACTCGGGTTTCCTAATGGTGAGCAACAGCTGGAAACTCCAAATATCTCAATCTTAAATATCAGCTCTATAAGCAGAGTTGATATCTGCTGGCTTCCAATTTCCAAACATGAAAAAAACCCAACAAAAATGTGGAACAAAACCAAACAACCCCTCTGAAAACTCCCTGTTGTGAAGAGGGGAGAATATTCACAGATCAGAGGGTGCCTGACACTGAACCTTTCCAAAATTAAAATTTTTGGAAAATTAAAATTAATTTGGAAAAAAAAATTTGGAAAAAATTTTGGAAAATTAAAATTCCTTCCCAGGTTCCAGATGCCCCAAAATAGGAAGGACAGGTTTTGTAATTAATTGTAATTAATTTGTAATTGTAATTGTTGCTAAATCAGAGCTAAGTGAGCAGGGTTTTACCTGAGTGAACAAACCAGAGCTTCTGGAAGAATCAAAGATACAGTGAAATGAGTTCTTCC